GACCACACTGACTCCAGACTGAGGGACTGATTACCTCAGATTCCTCATCTTAAACCTTTCTCTGCATTGTCGGATTTGTAAACCATTTATTCACAAATCATACCGAGCACCATTATTTTCTCTCAGGGGCTGCGATATTCCAAAGGTGTTGACAAAGAATGTTGTGCACTTAGTAGAGGAAACCTGTGATGTATCGGTCCATCCTTCACCATTGTCAAGTCACAATTAAGTAAGAGAAAGCAAAGAAGCCTAGAAGACCGGTCGGGAAGAGGTGGGGGCGGTGGTGTTAGTAGTAGTGTAGTCTACGCTACATTAGGCTAATAGTCTAGTGTAGTCTACGCTACACTAGGATGAAAGTCTAGTGTAGTCAACGCTACACTAGGATAATAGTCTAGTGTAGTCTACGCTACACTAGGATAATAGTCTAGTGTAGTCTACGCTACACTAGGATGAAAGTCTAGTGTAGTCTACGCTACACTAGGATAATAGTCTAGTGTAGTCAACGCTACACTAGGATAATAATCTAGTGTAGTCTACGCTACACTAGGATAATAATCTAGTGTAGTCTATGCTACACTAGGATAATAATCTAGTGTAGTCTACGCTACACTAGGATAATGGTCTAGTGTAGTCTACGCTACACTAGGATAATAGTCTAGTGTAGTCTACGCTACACTAGGATAATAGTCTAGTGTAGTCTACGCTACACTAGGATAATAATCTAGTGTAGTCTACGCTACACTAGGATAAAAGTCTAGTGTAGTCAACGCTACACTAGGATAATAGTCTAGTGTAGTCTACGCTACACTAGGATAATAATCTAGTGTAGTCTACGCTACACTAGGATAGTAGTCTAGTGTAGTCTACGCTACACTAGATATAAAATACGTAATTATAATATGCAACAAGAAAATAAAACCAATATTTATCATTGTCTATAAAAAAAATCATTCACTATTGATTATAATGTTAGTTAGTAAGTAGTTAGTTTACCTGGACGACCAGAGGCCTGGGAGAACCGTCCACGTTGACAGACAAGTTCCTCAGATTGTCCAAACCTGTCGAGAAGCTCTGCATTAACGTCTGAGTTAGCACATATTGACTGACTGACACGTGTTACACAAGTCAAATCTTCAGCCATTCTTCTCTGTATTGGACTGATGAAGCCACAATATGGCGAAACGTTTCAAAAATAAAGATCCCCAGGTGTCGCACGAGTAACTAATTTATCGCCTTATCTTGCATTATATTTGTACTGCAAAAATCACTGGTTGTCAAAACGTCTTTGAGTAAGAATACCCATGTGTTACAGTCGTGTCTAATTCTTTATCTGATTTCTTTGTGGAAAATCTGCGTTGGTTCGGCGATTTATGCACCACAGTAAAAGATCGTTTTTTTGCAATCTTCGCTACTGTTTGTGGGGTCTTTACAGAGATACTCTCTAACTTAAGGCAACACTAAATAGTCAGTGTTCCCTAATCTACGTCTGTTGCAGCCTATGCAACAAACATCTGGCACTGTAACTGCACTAACCTCAATTTTCTCGCGTTAATGCTTCGTGTTGGTAGCAGAAATATTCTAAGATAACAATGTCTTACTGATAACTCTCTCTCTCTAACTACTTAGATAATACGTAGTTAAAAGCTAATTTATGTAACTTACCGATAAAATAATTAGTTGTGGTGGTGCTTGTCATTCCCTGGGTTCCCGTACCATTCTGGTAGGTAAGGAAGGAATTACCAAAGCCAGCAGAAGATGAGGTTCTCAGGATGTCGGTCCATACGTCAGTCGTGGTGTTGAAGGTACACCACACCTGGTGGAGGAATCTTATTGTAGCCAGCTGGCCCAGTGGTTTACGCACTGGCCTGGAGTTGTTCTATTCACTCTCCCTGAGTTCAAGCTCCACCCGTTCCCTGGTTTGTTTGCAATAGTGTTATTACAGTTTCCTGAGTCGTGCACCACGCCTGCACACACACACACACACACACACACACACACACTCATGGATCTGGACAGGCTGCAGACCTGGTCCAGTAATTGGCTCCTGAAGTTCAACCCCACCAAGTACAAAGTCATGAAGATTGGGGAAGGGCAAAGAAGACCGCAGACCGAGTACGTCTAGGGGGCCAGAGACTACAAACCTCACTCAAGGAAAAAGATCTTGGGGTGAGTATAACACCAGGCACATCTCCTGAAGCGCACATCAACCAAATAACTGCTGCAGCATATGGGCGCCTAGCAAACCTCAGAACAGCATTCCGACATCTTAATAAGGAATCATTCAGGACCCTGTACACCGTGTATGTTAGGCCCATATTGGAGTATGCGGCACCAGTTTGGAACCCACACCTAGCCAAGCACGTGAAGAAACTAGAGAAAGTGCAAAGGTTTGCAACAAGACTAGTTCCAGAGCTAAGAGGTATGTCCTACGAGGAGAGGTTAAGGGAAATCGACCTGATGACACAGGTGGACAGGAGAGATAGGGGAGGACATGATAACGACATATAAAATACTGCGTGGAATAGATAAGGTAGACAAAGACAGGATGTTCCAGAGATGGGACACAGAAACAAGGGGACACAATTGGAAGCTGAAGGCTAAGACGAGTCACAGGGATGTTAGGAAGTATTTCTTCGGTAATAGAGTTGTCAGGAAATGGAATAGTCTATCATGTGATGTAGTGGAGGCAGGAACCATACATAGCTTTAAGACGAGGTATGACAAAGCTCAGGGAGCAGAGAGAGAGGACCTAGTAGCGATCAGTGAAGAGGCGGGGCCAGGAGCTATGACTCGACCCCTGCAACCACAAATAGGTGAGTACAAATAGGTGAGTACACACACACACACACACACACACACTTCAAACACACACCACACACACACACACACACACACACACACACACACACACACACACACACACACACACACATACACACACACACACACACACACACACACACTCAGGCTCACAAAACATAACTATCGTCAAGTTAGCGAGAAACTCTGGACAAATAACACAAACTGCTGTAGTTCATTAAATGTTAGTGAAGAACTCTTTATCCGAGGTTTTGGACCTCTTCCCTGCCTCGTGTTTCATGGCCCTTTCGGGTTTAGCGCTTAGATTGACTATAATAATAAAAGTCCCTTCCTCAAGTAGTGGTGGTAGTAGTGGTAGTGGTGGTAGTAGTGGTAGTAGTGGTAGTGGTAGTAGTGGTAATGGTAGTGGTGGTAGTGGTGGTAGTAGTGGTAATGGTAGTAGTGGTGGTGGTAGTAGTGGTAGTGGTAGTAGTGGTAGTGGTGGTAGTGGTGGTAGTGGTGGTAGTAGTGGTAGTGGTAGTAGTGGTGGTAGTAGTGGTAGTGGTAGTAGTGGTAGTGGTGGTAGTGGTGGTAGTGGTGGTAGTGGTGGTAGTAGTGGTAGTGGTGGTAGTGGTGGTAGTAGTGGTAGTGGTAGTAGTGGTAGTGGTAGTAGTGGTAGTGGTGGTAGTGGTGGTAGTAGTGGTAGTGGTAGTAGTGGTGGTGGTAGTGATACAGCTATAAGTCACGATCATGGTTAAGTGACCATAGTCACTTAATTATGACCGTGGGTCCGTACGTTACACCGCTGGGTATCACCAGAGGTCACACTCACCATGACCGTGGGTCCGTACGTTACACCGCTGGGTATCACCAGAGGTCACACTCACCATGACCGTGGGTCCGTACGTTACACCGCTGGGTATCACCAGAGGTCACACTCACCATGACCGTGGGTCCGTACGTTACACCGCTGGGTATCACACTGTAGATACCCGAAGAAGTAAAGCCCATCCCGGCCACGTCCGTGCAGTCCCTGGTCACCTTGTACGCTAGGCAAGGAAAAACACCAGTGTTAGAACACGCTTCTGTTGGTGCACACACACACACACACACACACACACACACATACACACACCTAGCCAAGCACGTAAAGAAACTAGAGAAAGTGCAAAGGTTTGCAACAAGACTAGTTCCAGAGCTAAGAGGTATGTCCTATGAGGAGAGGTTAAGGGAAATCAACCTGACGACACTGGAGGACAGGAGAGATGATAACGACATACAAAATACTGAGAGGAATTGACAAGGTGAACAAAGACAGGATGTTCCAGAGATGGGACACAGCAACAAGGGTACACAGTTGGAAGTTGAAGACACAGATGAATCACAGGGATGTTAGGAAGTATTTCTTCAGCCACAGAGTAGTCAGGAAGTGGAATAGTTTGGGAAGCGAAGTAGTGGAGGCAGGATCCATACATAGCTTTAAGCAGAGGTATGATAAAGCTCACGGTTCAGGGGGAGTGACCTAGTAGCGACCAGTGAAGAGGCGGGGCCATGAGCCTGGACTCGACCCCTGCAACCTCAACTAGGTGAGTACAACTAGGTGAGTACAGCGATCATGTGTGGCCAGCGTTCATGTGGTTTTAAGCTTCGAATACACAGTAGAGCTACAAGTGGAGGGGGAAGCAGGAAGGCCAGGACGAATGAACCCAAACTACAAGAAAGGGGACTACACGGGAATGAGGAACTTCCTGAAAGGGGTTCAGTGGGACAGAGAACTGGCATGGAAGCCAGTTAATGAGATGATGGAATATGTAACAACAATGTGCAAGGAGACTGAGGAGAGGTTTGTACCCAAAGGTGCTGGGAGGCAAAAACCAAGTGTGCTAGGAAATGGAAGAAATATAGAAGGCAAAGGACCCAGGAGAATAAGGAAAGCAGTCGTAGAGCCAGAAATGAATATGCACAGATAAGAAGGGAGGCCCAACGACAATATAAAAACGACATAGCAGCGAAAGCCAAATCTGACCCGAAGCTGTTATACAGCCACATCAGGAGGAAAACAACAGTCAAGGACCAGGTAATCAGGCTAAGGAAGGAAGGAGGAGAGACAACAAGAAATGACCGTGAAGTATGTGAAGAACTCAACAAGAGATTCAAAGAAGCTGAGTCTCAACCCCTGCAACCACAATTAGGTGAGTATACACACACACACACACACACACACACACACACACACACACACACACACACACACACACACGCACACGAGTACAAAGAGCCTCCTCCGTTTGTCCTCTCAATTTCAAGGCTGAAAACTAAAGAAATTGGTCCATTACGATCGCATCCTCACGACGTGATAAACAATATACAAAGCCAGACACTGTGAATGTTGGTAATTCAATATTCCCCAGGAAATATTATTATTACATCGTTAAAATGCAATTTCTGATCTCATATATTATAGAAAAATGTACTTATAATATGTCTCAAAATATATATTCTGTTCCTATGTTCATCAGTGTAGACGACGCTTGTTGATGGACCTTAAACCTCACAAATATATAATATAAATGCTCAGTAATAACCTACATGGAGGCAGAAACTCGGGACATTAATTGGTCTGTATATTTCGACCCCCTTCTGGGGCCCACTTCAGCAGATCTGCTGAAGAGGACCCCAGAAGGGGGTCGAAATATACAGATCAATTAATCTCCTGAGTGTCTGCCTCCGTGTGAGTTATTACTGAACACTGACAAGTGTTCATTATACTTTAGTTATTCACAATGTTTATACAATGAGATGTTTATATATCGGTGTAAAAATTTACTATGCATTATTGCCCTCTAGGGGTTGATAACCCAGTATAACACAAGATAACCCAAGATATCACAAAATAACACAAGCTAACAGAAGAAAGTCACCGTGCCTTGATACAGGTGAAGGGCTGTTGATGCTGTGAAATGGAGCTGCCCTCCCGTTCTTGAGATCAAACAATAGAGGACAATAATACACAGTCGAGTTTTACATCAAGATATAAACATCTCACTGTATATACATTATATATATATAAGAACATAAGAAAGGAGGATCACTGCAGCAGGCCTGTTGGCCCATACTAGTTAGTATGGACCACTAACAAGCATTGTTTATATTTAAGAATATTGGAACAGATTATATGTTTTGAAATATAGTACTTTTATATATAATATAACAAAGATCGTAATAAAGTTGGTAGAATTATCGACAATATGTAAAGTAAAAGGACACAAGTGCAACTAATGTGACATTTTATGGTGGCAACGTTTCGCTCTCCAGGAGCTTTATCAAGCCATCAATGGCTTGATAAAGCTCCTGGAGAGCGAAACGTTGCTACAATAAAATGTCACATTAGTTGCACGTGTGTCCTTTTACTTTATACATAGCAAAGATCGTTGATTGCATTTTAATTGATACAACCGCAATATAAGAACGTAAGAATGAAGGAACAGTGCAACAGGCCTATTGGCCCGTACTAGCAAGGCCCTTCTCAAACCCATACCCACTTAACATAAATATTTGCCCAACCCGTATTCAGTGCTACCCAAGGAATAAGCTTTGACAACCCTATTAACTTCTATGCAAGTCCCACCCAAATCCGACCTTCCCCCCCTCCCTCCTCCCTTAAACTTAACCCTTGAGGCTTATCCATTGTGCTACTTATAAAAATAACACGAACAACAGTAAACTCACCCGGAACACAATTGTCGAGCACTGGTGTCCAGTATGACGCATTGGGTGTCCCTGTGATCGAGCCTTGGACACATTCCGAGAGGACACCTGGCTGTCCTGAGAGCCAGGTACTGCCTGAGACACACTCGTAGTATATAGCGTAGGTGGTGTTGGTGTTGTCCACGAACGTGAAGTTTGCGACTGCATTGGTTGGAGCAGCAGGGACAGGAGCTGTGCACGGGGTCGTCGCTGTAAGGGAGTAAGAGGGACTCGTGTTGTGTTTACAATTGAATACGACACACTTGAATACTTCCATCAGGTGCTGGAGTTTCCTGCTGGGGACTGGAGTGTTTTATTACACAGGATATATCATTCCAGAAGATACTGGAATGTCTTACAGAAGACTGGACTGTTTTCTTACACAACATTCCAGCAGGTACTGGCATGTCTTACAGAAGACTGGACTGTTTTCTTACGCATAACATTCCAGCAGGTACTGGAGTGCTCTCTTACGCACAATTTCCCAGGATGTGACCCATAACACTGCTGACACAGATGTACCTACCTACTTTTACTGCTAGGTGGGCAGGGGCAACAGTGGTGTACGGCAACATGCCCAAAATGTTGGTCTAGAAAGACAGGTAAGGAAACACTTGGACATATTTATTAGAATACGTTTCGGTCCTGAGACCTTGGCCATTTCTAACATACAGATGTTGAAAAGACAGTGTATATATAGGCGGAGAGTGAGGTGTGAGTCTGCATTAACCAGTGCGTGACGGACCAGGTGGACCGGCAACTAGGACTCACCTACGGGCTGGCACTGCTGGGGAGGTGTGATGGACCAGATGGTCCCCAGACACAAGTCCAGCAACGTCCGTCTTCCAGAAGAGAATGCGGTGTTTGGAGTGGGACAGTTGAGTAACGCCACTCCGTCACTCATCAGGGTGACGTTCACGGAAGGGTCGTGGGCTGGGCATGATGCCCATGTACCCCCGGCTGTAGAGGACAGGTACTAGTTAGTGCCCGCAGGGAAGCAGAGGTACGATAGGTATTATTACATTATTAGAGGGACATACATGGAGAATGGACATGTGCAAGGGACACGTCCTAGGGGCATACGTGGTATTATATGCTGACAAATATGTGGATATGACAGTGTACGGTTCAGAGACGTTTTGCCCACTAGGGATCTTATCACTGAGAGTCAGTGGTGGGCGAAACACCTTCTCAATAAAATTCGGGAAGATTAAGACATGCAACTATTGGCATCTTTACTGTTGCAACGTTCCGCAACGCCTCGTCTTTCGCCATTCTCTATATTGGACTGAAGAAGCCACTGGCGAAACGTTTCCAGAATTAAGATAACCAACTGTCGCACGAGTGTTTCACTAATCAACATGTCGGTTGTCTAAACCATTTATTCACACCACTTTCTTAAATAAAATGCCGCATGTTGTCTCGTATTTCCATCCCCCCCCCACCTCTCTGTGACGATAATGGTCGTTGGATAAGAGTGGACTCATGGTGGTAGTAATATAAACGGGTGAATGCTTGCTGAGTAAGGATCACGCTTAGTAACTTATGGGTATGATTATAACCATATTTTTTAAGGGGTGGTGGAGGGATAAGCCAGCGGAAGGCCTCAGTCAGATGACCAAAAGCTCCAGATGCGGACCATCATATGACTAAGAACCGCGTCAGGAAACACTCATGTTCCCTGACAAACGTTGTTAGGTAAGACACATATGCAACAGTTAGGTATCTTTATTTCGAAACGTTTCGCCTACACAGTAGGCTTCTTCAGTCGAGTACAGAAAAGTTGATAGAAGCAGAAGAGACTTGAAGAAGATGTAATCAGTCCATCACCCTTAAAGTTTTGAGGTGGTCAGTCCCTCAGTCTGGAGAAGAGCATTGTTCCATGGAATGAAACAATATGGAGATGAAGTGACAGGATGGAGCCTTATATAGCGCCAAGAGGTGAGACGTAGGTCACTAGAAGGGGTAAGAACTCAGATGCTGAGAGGTCAGGTCCCTCTCAAATCCAGCCGTTCTCACTAGTAGAGGTTGTCGAAGTTGATTGTAGGTCTGTACCAAGATACCCTTGTGTTGCCAACCAACGAATAAGGATCAAGCCTCGTTACCTCTCTATCTTTATTATCTTTTCTCCACTCTGTGTCCCAGGTGTTGGGTTTTTATGTTACTGTAACTGGACCTGAATTGACTTGTGTCTTTTAAAGTAATTATTCTTAGTCCTGTCTAATTCTCTTTATTTATTTTTGTCTTTTGGCCTTGTGGCTCGACTTGGGTTATTCGAGGCAGGTGAGAAGGCGGGCAGCCAGATCTAGTCACTAGATCTGTGACTTCACCTCGTTCTTACTCTCTTTATCTTCTGGATATCACAGTAGTGTGTCGTAACACAATTTCGGAATTGCCATCTGTTGTCTTCAAAACCTTCAGCAACCTCCATCACAGAGTACACAAAGCCAACGTTTAGTTACCGGTAGTCTACCAATGGTGAAACTACAAATTATTGTCTGGGTCTCCATCTCTCTGATGCTGACCTATTGTTTTATATAAGACTGACGTACAACAGCGACTACCTCGTCATTTACATGCTAGATGTTGTAATAAAGTTGGTAGAATTACCGACAATATGTAAAGTAAAAGGACACAAGTGCAACTAATGTGACATTTTATTGTGGCAACGTTTCGCTTTCCAGGAGCTTTGTCAAGCCGTAACGTAACGGCTTGACAAAGCTCCTGGAGAGCGAAACGTTGCCACAGTAAAATGTCACATTATTTGCACTTGTGTCCTTTTACTTTACATGTTTGATGTTTATCATGGTGAATCCTGGTAGTTACCCACAACCTTCCACATGCACATCGGTACATCGTCTCTCCTTCACATGGATATATTTGTATATAGAAACATCAATTTAGTTCCACCTGATTATTTTATGTATTTTATTTATCATATTTTGCTTCAGTTAGAAAAGTTTCATATCTGTGGATAATTTACTATAATTATCCTACAATTAGTAATGTGTATGTGAAGTGTTAATATAACATACATAAGAAGTATTAATGATAGTTACAAACTACCGAACTACTTGTGAGGAAGAGAGGGTGTGTTTACAAGTGAGTGGGGTGGGGGGGGAGGGGTTGTGTAAATGGCAGAGGTCAGTGTTGGTTACACGGGTATGTAAGGTTGACTGCTGGTCCCCCTCAAGGGGGGTTCCTTGACGCTGGTGAGGGGCTTTTGATCTAGGGAATTTGATCTGTGCTCCAGTTCCCTGAATTGAGCCTGAAAGCCTCCCCCCCCCCCACATGCGTTGTATAATCCTACGGGTTTAGCGCTCTCCAATGATTATAATAATGACTGCTGGTCGTCTCGGCTCTTCATTTGACCACAGTGGAGAGGTCACGAAAAGTAAACTGAATCTGAGGAGTACTGTCCCGGGTGGCCGTCTTGAGAAGTAGTGTTGACTCTGACTCACGAAATCGTAATGACACGATTGCAAACAAACCATACCACTGGCTAGCTGGTCCAGTGGCTAACGCGACGGTCTGGAGCTTTGAGAATCTCTGACCGCGGGTTCAAATCCCGCCCGTGGTATGGAGTGTTGACTCTCTCAAGGAACTGGAAATCGACCGAATCTTCAAATGAAATTAATTAATGTGTAACAGAAGCTGTGTCGTGAGAAATTGATGAAATTGATACCACATGTAATGTCCGCCTCCCAGTGTATTAATTTTCACTACAGGTATGCTAATTTATATTGGCCAATATGAATTATCTACCGAAAGGAAGACGTGAGGATGTGACACCAAAATCTTAATTTCGTGAGTAATATTAAAATGCCCTTTTATATTTTACTGATCATGTAATTGATTTATATAAAATTATCGAAGCAAATTACTCAGGTCAAGTAATTGATATTAACTAATATATTCAGTCCACGCATAATGTGCCAGTGTTACTGGCATATTTTTTTTTTTTTTTCAAATAATTTTAAGAACTATATGTTGTGATGATGATTTAAAGTCCAAACGTGTGAGACCTGATGACCTGAGAAGGTGGTCACGAGGGTGGGATGATATTGTGACCTGGTGACCTGAGAAGGTGGTCACGAGGGTGGGTTGATATTGTGACCTGGTGACCTGGGGTGGGCACGAAGGTGGGATATTGTGACCTGGTGACCTGAGGTGGGCACGAAGGTGGGATGATATTGTGACCTGGCGACCTGAGGTGGGCACGAAGGTAGGATGATATTGTGACCTGGTGACCTGAGGTGGTCACGGTGGGATATTATAGTGACCTGGTGACCTTAAAGTCCCACTTGACTCGTCGCTACATCAATATCAGTAAGTGTAAAGTGTTTGATGTACCAAAGTTTCTTTACAATTATTAGGTTGAAATAATTATTCAGGACATTGTAATATCATTATAATATCTAAGTCCTATATATAATTTATTTTTTGCATACTATAAAATTGATTATTCTGACCCGTTATTATTTTTCCTATTTTTTATCTTATTATAATGAGGAAGGGCCTTTTCAAATACCCTTGGAAGATCTGAAAGGGCCATAATACCTTCACACTCTCCCACTAACACATCATCGTTTCTTCCCCTTCCATAAAATTCCTCGTAACGTGTTGTGTCCTGCTTGTATAAGTCAAAATAATCCTCACTGTTCGTCCCTTACAGGCATTCTTGTTAACTTTACGACCCAGAGCTGTGTGTGTGTGTGTTTTGTGTGTGTGTGTGTGAGAGAGAGAGAGAGGGGGAGGAGAGAGGGAGTGAAGGAGAGGGGAAGGGAGATAGGTAGGTGTTCCGCTGGATATGTTGGCGACCTGTGAGGCCTGCTATATACATTTACACTCTTGGTGTCCATTCCGGCTCCAGCTTGCCCATAACTGCCTCATTTGTCAACACCAGTGACCGACCCACCTCGCTGGGGTTATTGATATTGAATGAGTCTTGTGGGAGATGAATGTTCCAGAGGTCGTTTATTCACTGTCACATTTGTCAGGTATTGAGGCCCCGTGCAGAGTGCAAGGGAGGCCACTGGCTGGAGAAACGCTTCCAGAATAACGATACCCAAGTGTTGTGCAAGTGTCTCATTTATCAACTACACCATTTATTCACATAACGACCAGATCTACTCTTAAGACATATAAGGACCTGACTCAAGAAATCGTAATGACACGATTGCAAACAAACCATACCCCCGGCTGGGATTGAACCCGCGGTCAGAGAGTCTCAAAACTCCAGCCCGTCGCATTAGCCACTAGACCAGCTAACCACAATAAGATTCATCCCAGGACCGAAACTCTTCCTAATAAATATCTCCTAGTGTTTGTACACAATGTTTGTACAGAGATGGGTTGTATTTAGGTGTGTAAGCAGAAAGCTTATAGTTATACTGAGTATTTCGGGCAAACTTGATCCTAACTTAAGACTACAGTGTTAATACACAAGTTATACATAACGGTGTCCCGTAGCTGAAGTCCGGGGATCGAGTCCCCTGTACGGCTGGAAAACAGGACGTGTTTCCATAAGACACCTGCTGTCCCTGTTCGTCTATCGGTTAAATAGATACCTGGGTCTTAGTTGACTGGTGTGGGTCGCACCCTGGGGCGAAAACTGACCTAATTTGATGTAATTGATGTCACTGATGTCAGCTATGGTCTGTATACCTTGTGCATGTACTTGTAGAAATAAAGATTATTACATAACATAACATAACATAACATAACATAAGAACACAACATAAGAAAGGAGGATCACTGCAGCAGGCCTGTTGGCCCATGCTCGGCAGGTCTACACTGTGCAAGGCGGTACATGGTAGAATTACCGTCTAAATGCCAGGAAGGTGAACACAGACGCAACTAATGTGACTGTTTTATTGAGGCAACGTTTCGCTCTCCAGGAGCTTTGTTAAGCCATTACAAACAGTACATGGACACAGAGGGTATATATAGGC